GGCTGGGACAGGCGACGAAACCCAATGGATCGCCGAAAATGCACGACCCACAAACACGTCGCGCGAACAAAGGACATTGTCGGGGCGAAATAATTGCGCCACTGTCGGTAATAATGCGGCCAGATGCCTGCGTGCGAATTCACAGAGAGTTTCCAGGAGAGACGAAAGAAAGAGAGAGAGGGGGGGGAGTGTGTCGGGGTCGAACAAACCCTGTGCGCGACGTTGAGTTTTAAGCGCGGAGGGGTAAAAGTTAGAATGTTTGCAAACTAATCGCGCTAGAGTCTGAAATATATCTGTTCTGTCGAAAATTCGTGGAGTACATTCTACCCTACCCTCTACGAATAAAATTGTTCGAGTAAAATATAACGAGTATTACAGCTCTCTCGTGCTCTATATTTAGGTGAAATATTTCTACCTAATTAAAAATCACTACGAGAGAGACTGAAATTATAACTCGAGACCAAACCTTATCGTATACCTTCCAACAACTAATTATTACTCGAGGTACGAGTAGAGGAGAAAATTTCTGTCCTCTGTATAATTACGATAAAAAGATCACGCGAACGGGAGAGCGCGAGGATTAAAAGAGACCTGGCACGGAGCAATCAGTATCGAACGACACGTTTCAATCTAACGGCGATAAGGGGTGAAAAGTGGAACGCTTGTAAACTGTTCATAATATTCGACGAGACGCGAGGGCCACCGTTAAAAATGCATCAATCACCCGTTAACGGGCCATCGGGAAACAGTAAGCAAAAGGAGCAACAGAGTGTGTCCGGTTGCATTTAGGATGCACCGGCACGGCGACAGGCTGACAGTTTGTGATGAATCGGCGGTACGTTCGAAATGATAGCCGAGGAACGGTGAAGCACCGGCCAGGAAAATGGGCCATTTCGTTGGCTATTTACAAAACGCTCGAGAAAACGGCTAAAAAATTACATATACTAAGCCCTCGCAGACGCTCGTAGATGATGATGGTCGAGCATCGCGAACATCGAGGGTGTATATACGTGGAATATCGTTATCGGAGCAACGGCTGTCACGTTGTGGCACGCGACTTTTCCTCTTGGTACGTGGAAAACTTGTACAACGCTTTTCCATCGGTACGATACAGCGTCACATATCAACGGTATACCCGACGACGACACCACCACGACCAGGTAACAAATCACCGTGGATATGATGCCCAGGCGATGACGATCCGCGGTGAAGGATTTTTCGTTGGAGAAATTTATCATCCTCCCCCTTTCTATCTCCTTCCTTCGGCTATGAATTCACTCTTCGAATCCTCCTTTCTCACGGCGAAATATCGTTTTCGCGGATGAAAAAGGAGGTGTACAGGTATCGACAAGGGCAGTTTGTTTCCTGGGACCTGTGATAACCTACTTTCTACCTTGCCAATATTTATGGTTCTAATGATTCTGTGTCGGAATCTCTTAATCCCTAAATCTCCACCAATCTTTTGAAAGCATTGTGTCGTTCGTATATCATGTAGCATGTATAGGTGCAATTGTCCCTTTTTTATGACGCCGCTGACGATAAGACAACACCATTTGCGTATCTTTTTAAACGGATCTTGCTTTTGTGCTGCCGAACCTTTGCAGTTCGTTGCCACCGTGCTGTCACGATTTTTCTACGGAATAATTCGTTGTGCGATATTAAATAAATAAATCTTCGAATGTTGTTTTGCTAAGTATCTGTATGCCGAGAAGATTCTACTTCAAAGGACAGCTAAGCACAATTTCAAAGCGACAGTTGCGCGTGACGATAAAAAATAAAGGTACCGCAGATAAATCGCAAAGATTCCAGCCGTTAATAAATAAGAAAGAACAGAAGGGATAGTTACAAGGAACAAATAGACGATATTATTCGCCCGTAAACAACGCGCGCATTTTTCAAGCGGCCGTTTACTTAATACGTTTTAAGAGACTTTTAAATCACTGCCAGGCACCACGTTCAACGCTGGTTCGCCTCGAGTGCTCGAGCAAGTTAAGGCTTTTCCGTCCGCCTAATCCAGTTTTGATTATAAATCACTTAAAGCCGTCGTTCTGACGGCGAAACGAAGTTTTCGAAGGCTCCGACACTGGAGCGACTATATTTACAGACTCGCCAGCCCGTAATTGAAGGATTTATCTAAGAGAGGAAAAAACAGGAAAAAGAAAGAAAAACGACAGCCTTGTGAGACAGATTTCTCTCTCTCTCTCTCTCGTGGAAGTAATCCTGGCAACGATTGTGGAAAAGTTGCGTGTCGCTATGTTCTGTTGCATTTTACGCGGCCACTTACGACAGATCTAACAGTTGCCGCGCAATCTGTTTGCGCCGCGAATCGTGCCGATTATCTTCTAATTCTGGAGCGCTTATTCTATCACGAGTCGACCCTACGATGACTTCTCCGATGATCTGAGACCACTCGTCAAGTCAACGTGCTTATACTCGCAGATTATAATTAAATCTTACGGATTTAAAGTACGGAGCGCTGGAGATATTGATTCAACGAAGAGAGAGAAATATTTTAACACTGTACCGACAATTTTTTCGAATTTTTATCGACTGTTTCGATAAAAAATAAAATGGAGTTTAATTGGTGTCCAAATAAAATAATTAAATAAAACATTGCAATCTTCAGCCTTAACCTCCCAGATAAATTTCGTGAAACACAGACGATAGATAAATTTGTAACACCCGCGATAAGATTGAGATACGAAAGCACAGACAGATAATTAAAAATTTCGTTAATCATATCCACTGAAAATACCTGTCGAACTCACACTTCCGAAGAAAACTACAAAATATAAAATCTCATCAATTTCGCAAATAACTCGAAGTACACATAAATCCCTCGTTCTCTCAATCAAGAAATAGTCGTAAATTTTTCCTCGACAAATGAAGTTTGCAATTAGCAAGTTGATGGAAGTAAAACGTTGACGTATGACCCGAGTGCAAGAGGTTAAAGATATAAGCCTTTAAGAATCTACCACGTTCGTTAGATCAGCAGTGAAACGATCTAACGAGAGCAACAGAGAGAGAGAGAACGCGAATCATAAGCTCGTCGCCTTATCTGCGAATTAGAGTCAATTCGCACGTCTCGGATGATACAGCCGCGGAGAGGGCCTCCTGAATGCATGGCAACGTCAAATAACAACAAGTACATTACGCCAGGTTAGCATGATTCATACGAGATAACGTCGTGCCAAGATAATTACGGTTGTTACGAGCAAACAAAGCGGAGGCGCGCCGAGCCACGGAGAACCGGCGTCTCTCTATCGACCGTACGCTTCGACAATCGACGCCGCCACAATCAACGCTCGATTCAGCCACCCAGTATCGTCTCTCTCTCTCTCGTTCGACATTAACACGCGACAAAACCGATCTCGTTCCTAGAAAAAATCGCTGGAAATCGTGTTTGACGTTATATCGTCGCTGGACAACCATCGCGATAATTCTCCCTCTTTTTGTCTCTCCCTGTCTCTCCCTGTCTCTCCCCGTCTCTCCTCGTCTCTCCCCGTCTCTCCCTCTCTCTTTCTCTCTACTATCACACTCTGCCGGTTCGCAATCGGCAATCCTTCCACGATCTTTAAATAAATTTCAACGCTGTGGAACGTGCACGGTTATCTCGATGTGTGCCACCGTCGGTTGAAACCGAAATCCGTGAAATTACGCGGCGTAACCCACGTTCGAAACCGGCGTAA